GTTTGGTGTGAGAGCCAGTTTGGTGTGAGAGCCGGGAGCATGAACTCTAAACTGGAACACCCGGGTCTGATTCCTCACTCCTCCACACGAAGCTGCAGGTGTGACCTTGGGTCAGTCATAAGTTCTTTCAGAGCTGTTCTCTCAAAAACAGTTCTCAAGAGAGCTCTCTCAGCCCCACCTACCTCACAGGGTGTTTTTTGTGAGGAGGGGAAGAGAAAGGACACTGTAAGCTGCTCCGAGTTGGTTGACTTAAATTTGGTGCTCATTATCCACTTCTCTAAAACAACGTAATAGAGAACAGTGTTCCCTCTAAGCTGAGTTAGTGTAACTAGCTCACAGTGTTTTAGCCTCCAGCTCACACATTTTTGGTTTGCTCAGGAAAGATGGCTCCAGAGCAAACTAACTGATGCAGTTGCCAGATTGCTGGCTCACCGCTTTAATGCCAGTAGCTGACAAAGTAGAATTTTTATTCACAGGACTCCACAGCCTAGAGGAAGCATCGATAGAGAAGTATTTTTGCATGATGTTCTAGGCATGTTATGTTCAGCATCTTACTTATCACAAGGATGCACGATACTGATGTGTTCTTGTTTTGTATATATGTTGTGGTAAACTCATTTTTTTTTTAAAAAATTAAACTTCCTGTTCCACACCCATTCAAAATAATGTCACAGTTTCTGACAACGTGGCTTCCCCCAAAAGAACAAAACAAACATTCGGGGAACATTGGTTTATTCTTTATTGGGTCAATCTCTCAGTGGCAACAGTGGCCAAGGAAGTGAAATATCAAACTCACTGATGACCTTTAGTGGCCGTGGCTGTGCTCGTGGCCTTGGCCGGGGCCGGGGCTATGGCTATGGCCACCGGTGCCTGGCTCCTTTTCTTTCTTGTGGATGTTATCATGACTGAAAATCAGCACTCTGGTAATAAAACCCATGAATCCTGCAAAATCGAGCTGCTTGTTCATGTCCTTGTCGAACTCATCCATTAGGACTTTAGCGGCGTCCTTATTTTTCTGTGAAAACAAAGGATGGTTATCAAAGATTGCTAAGGCATCCAACTCTCATTAGATTCTTTCTGTAATTTCCCAGGCGGCAATGTGTTTGTGGGCAGATTCTCAGAGTAGACAGGGATCTTGGAGACCCTGGTGCAAATCTCGACTGCCAAGGAAGCTTGCTGGGTCGCCTGGTTCTGGCCACATAGACCCAGAGTAATTTTACCTCATAGAGTGGTTGTGAGGGTGAAATGGAGGAGAGGAGAATTAGGAAAGTCCCCTGGAGTCCCCATTGGGGAGAAAGGTGGGGCATAAATTAAAGTCATTTTGTGACAAATGATATTTGAACATAAGAACATAAGTGAAGTCAATGTTAGATCAGGCCAATGGCCCATTCAGTCCAACACTCTGTGTCACACAGTGGCCAAAAAATACCAGGTAGGACAAAAAGGAGAAAAGGGGAAAAAAACTGAACCTAAAATCTAGAATTCAGAACCTAAAAAGGTTAGTCAAGAAAAGACTACTTATTCAACATAAATTAAAATAACAATTAACTTAACTTAAGGAACATTTTATTGGGAACATTTGGCTGTACAATTTCAGGAGAATATATAGTTGACCAGAGAGAAGTACTACTGGACGTGTGATTGCACTGGAGACTTCATTTGTATTTTTGTATTTCTTTTCTTTGCCCAGTGGTTAAACTTTGGAACAATAGTTTTCTGGTCTTTATTTCATATTTTGTATATGTATGATTGTATATATTTTTACATATCAGCCAACATGTTCTATTTATATTAGACCTCTGAGAAAGGCCTGTAAAGGCTGAAACGCGTTAGGTCTATTTCATTAGCCTTGTATGTTTTTATATTTGTATGAGGTATGAATGGGCCCTTATTTGTTATTTTAATTTGTGTTGAATCAATACATGTATATTTTTGTATGTTTCATAATTAGATTTTTAGAGTTCGCCCTTTTATGAGTCACCACAGAATGCAGAAAATCCACATCAAGTTATCTCAGAAGGCTTGCGTTTTTATTCTGGATGGCATCTGTCCCTCTTCAGAATACCGTAGTGATACTCAATCAGCGGTCTCAGGAGCCACATGTGGCTTCTTGACATGCCACCTGTGGCCCTGATGGTTAATGTTCCCTCACCTGGGGCCTACCCCATGCCAGTTTGGTGTAGTCGTTAAGTGCGCGGAATCTAATCTGTGAGAACCGGGTTTGATTCCCCACTCCTCCACTTGCACCTGGCTGGATGATAGTTCTGATAAGAGCTGTCCTTGAAAAAGAGCAGTTTCTGTCACAGCTCTCTCAGCCCCACCTGCCTCACAGGGTGTCTGTTGTGGGGAGGGGAAGGGAAAGGTGTTTGTAAGCCACTCTGAGACACCCTTGGGTAGTGAAGAGTGGGGTATAAATCCAATCTCTTCTTCATCTTCTTCCATAAGTCAGCAAGGGCGTTCCCCTCTCGGGTTTGTGGTTGGTAGGGGGCTCTTGCCTTGATGCAGATGGCAGCAGGCCAAATTTTAGAGATGGAACTAAAGGACCTGCCCACTCCCCCATCTTTCAGCAAGGCCTCTGCACTTTCATCCCAGCACCAGCCACCTGTCAGGAGGAGAACTGGCCATAGAGTGGAGAGAGTAAAGAACAACAAGAAGAGGAGAAGAGATTGGATTTATACCCCGCCCTTCACTACCCAAAGCTGTCTCAGAGCGGCTTACAAACTCCTTCCCCTTCCCCTCCCCACAACAGAAACCCTGTGAGGTAGGTGGGGCTGAGAGACCTCTTGACAGAAACTGCTCTTTTTCAAGAACAGCTCTGAGAGAACTATGGCTTGCCCAAGGTCATCCAACAGGTGCAAGTGGAGGAGTGGGGAATCAAACCCTGTTCTCCCAGATAAGAGTTCGCACACTTAACCACTACACCAAATAGCAACTGTGCTGTATAATTACAATGAAGAACAAAAGTAAATATTAAATACCCCCTAACAAAATGTTCTTCATTGCAATTATATACAGTGCGGTTGCTTTTTGATGATGCAGTTTTCACTGTATATCCCACCTATTCTTGTGTTCCCTGTGGAATGTGTGTGCAACTTTCCAGCTTCGATACACCAGAAACCGCATGGTCAGCTTCTCGCTCAACAAAACCACTGCCTGGTATACATGGATGGGGCCCCTCTTCCATCTACGATGCTGAAGATGATGCGACAGGATTTTCTTGAGTGTGTTGTTTCAGCGGTCCGTTATTTATTTAATGTAATGGATATCCTGCCCTTCCCGTGTGCGGGCTCAGGGCTGGTTACAATATATAAAATTCACAGCAATAAAACCAACTCTAATACGATCAAATCACTCACCCTTAAAACAAGAATGCATTCTGAAAAACCATGCCCCAGTGTCCCGGCACAGTGTAACAATAGGGAGAAGAGAGGCCAGAGCCTACAAACATTATTTCTGAAGGTACGGTCCATTGCTCTCGGACAGATCCAGAGCAGGCATTTTAGCTCAGCTCCCCCTCCCTGGCAGTCTTTAAGCTGCGGCTTAAAGGTCTCTCCTCTCGCAAACCCACACTTTCCAGACTCTACCCCCCCCCAATTTTCAAGGGATATCCTAATCCGGAGATGGGGCCTAGTTGCAGCCCATAGCAACAGAAAGCCTAGTATATAATATTGAGTCTTAGCTGAGGTCGATTCGGGGGGATCGTGGGGGATCGCAGTTCCCCCGGGTGAGGTGGGGGGGGCACATGACGAAGCCCCGCCCCTTGCTTCCGGCCGCCCCGCTTCCGGCCCTCATTCAGCCAGGAGGAGGCAGGTGAAGAGGGAGGGTAAGTTGCTTCCTCCCCGCCTCTCTCCACCCCTGCCTGCCTGGGGCCAGGGAGGGCCTTGGCGGGGCTTCCTCGCACTCCTGCCGGCCTTGCAGGTCCACTGCCGGGCCCCTGATGTCAGGGGGTGTGGCATATGCTAATGAGTTATGCTAATGAGTTCCCCTAGCTCTTTTTCTACAAAACTACCCCTGAGTCCTAGTATGCAGTAAGGTGGCCAGGACAGGCTTGAGAAGTTCCTGGAGATGGTGGAACAGCGTCTGGGGGAGGGCAGTGTTTCAGATTTGGCTGCCAACCTCCAGGTGGGGCCCAGAGTTGTCCCAGAATACCAGCTGATCTCCAGACCTCAGAGATCCAGGTAGTGATAGCTGGTTACTTCACCATCCTTCTCTTGCTAATTTTGCATGTTAACCGAGAGTTCATGCACTATTTGGTGGTGTTTGGTGTGAGAGCCAGTTTGGTGTTAGAGCCGGGAGCATGAACTCTGATCTGGAAGACCCAGATTTGATTCCTCACTCCTCCACACAAAGCTGCAGGTGTGACCATGGGTCAGTCATAAGTTCTATCAGAGCAGTTCTCTCAAAAGCAGTTCTCAAGAGAGCTCTCTCAGCCCCACCTACCTCACAGGGTGTTTGTTGTGAGAGGAGGGGAAGATAAAGGAGACTGTAAGCTGCGCTGAGTCGGTTGATTTAAATTTGGTGCTAATTATCCACTTCTCTAAAGCAACGTAATAGAGAACAGTGTTCCCTCTAAGCTGAGTTAGTGTAACTAGCTCACAGTTTTCTAGCCTCCAGCTCACATGTTTTTGGTTTGCTCAGAAGAGATGGCTCCAGAGCAAACTAACTGATGCAGTTGCCAGACTGCTGGCTCACTGCTTTAATGCCAGTAGCTGACAATGTCGAATTTTTATTCACAGGACTCCACAGCTTAGAGGAAGCATCATTAGAGAAGTATTTTTGCATGATGTTCCAGGCATGTTATGTTCAGCATCTTACTTATCACAAGGTTGCATGATACTGTTGTGTTCTTGTTTTGTATATATGTTGTAATAAACTCATTTTTAAAATAAATCAATATATAAATAAACTTCCCGTTCCAAACCCATTCAAAATAATGTCACTGTTTCTGACAACCGTGGCTTCCCCCCAAAAGAACAAAACAAACTCCCAAGGAACATTGGTTCATTCTTTATTGGGTCAATCTCTCAGTGGCAACAGTGGCCAAGGAAGTGAAATATCAAACTCACTGATGACCTTTAGTGGCCGTGGCCGTGGCCTTGGCCGGGGCCATGGCTATGGCCATGGCCATGGCCACCGGTGCCTGGCTCCTTTTCTTTCTTGTGGATGTTATCATGACTGAAAATCAGCACTCTGGTAATAACACCCATGAATTCTGCAAAATCAAGCTGCTTGTTCTTGTCCTTGTCGAGCTCTTCCATTAGGACTTTAGCGGCATCCTTATTTTTCTGTGAAAACAAAGGATGGTTATTAAAGACTGCTAAGGCATCCAACTCTCTTTAAATTCTTTCTGTAATTTCCCAGGCGGCAATGTGTTTGAGGGCAGATTCTCAGAGTAGACAGGGATCTTGGAGACCCTGGTGCAAATCTCGACTGCCAAGAAAGCTTGCTGGGTCACCTGGTTCTGGCCACAGAAACCCAGAGTAATTTTACCTCACAGAGTGGTTGTGAGGGAGAAATGGAGGAGAGGAGAATTAGGAAAGCCCCCTAGAGTCCCCATTGGGGAGAAAGGTGGGGCATAAATTAAAGTCATTTTGTGACAAATGATATTTGAACATAAGAACATAAGAGAAGCCAATGTTGGATCACACCGATGGCCCATCCAGTCCAACACTCTGTGTCACACAGTGGCCAAAAAATACCAGGTGCCATCAGGAGTTCAAGCAGTGGGGCCAGGACACTAGAAGCCCTCCCACTGTTGCCCCACCCAGCACCAAGAATACAGAGCATCCCTTGCCCCAGCCTGAGAGTTCCTAATAGCCACTGATGGACCTCTGCTCCATATGCTTATCCAATTCCCTCTTGAAGCTGTCCATGCTTGTAGCTGCCGCCACTTCCTGTGGCAGTGAATTCCATGTGCTAATCACTCTTTGGGTGAAAAAGTATTGTGAGAAAGGGAGAAAAGTACTTCTTTCTCTACCTGTCTATCCCAGGCATAATCTTGTAAACCTCGATCATGTCACCCCTCAGTCGTCGTTTCTCCAGGCAAAGAGCCCCAAGCACTTTAACTTATCTTCACAGGGAAATTGTTCCAACCCTTTGATCATTCTAGTTGGCCTTTTCTGCACTTTCCCCAATGCTATAATATCCTCTCTGAAGTGTGGCGACCAGAATTGCACACAGTATTCAAAATGAGGTTGCACCATTAATTTATACAGGGGCATTACAATATGCATAGATAGCACATTGGAGGGATGATTTGCAACATTTATAACATAAGTAAAACAAACCCACATGACATAAGCATTGAAAATGCACATTGTGTGTACTTCCACAGAAGCAGAGTTAATGTATTTTGTTGTAGATCATTGGACAGATGGATATTTGATGTAGCAAAAGTGTGAAATAAATGCTGAAGAAAATGATATTTGACTACACTTAATAGGGAAGAGTGGGAAGAATCTGGACATCAGGTGTCTTCACAGGCTTTATGTTTGTAGGACTTCCTAATTCAGATACTGTCACTTTTAAGAGTGGAGCTGTGGAAGCAGCCATGAAGTCTGGAGGCACTTGGTAATTTTCTTGAAAAATCTCAAGGAACTCAGTCCCTCTGATCCCCAGTGCAGTATTACCAACCCCTTCCCAATATGCTTTCAGACGGTATATGTATACTAGGAAAAAAACCCAATGTGGAAATAATAAAACAAGCTCTAGAAAGAGGCTCTGGGCAGGTGCCCTGGCCTTGGGCACTCAGCGTCAATTTGCTTTGGTGACCTCAGTAGGGTGCAATAACTCAGGGTCCACCATTTTCTCCAGGGGAACTGACCTGGAGAGCAGTTGTAATGCTGAGTGATCTCCAGCCCTCACCTGGAGATTAGCAACAATGGTTCCCCAGGAGAAAATGGCTGGTTGGGAGGGCAGAGTCTATGGTATTGTAATTGTCTGAGGTCCCACCTCTCTTCAAACCCCACCCTCTCCAGGCTCCACCCCACAAATCTCCAAGAATTTCCCAACCTGGAGTTGGCAAACATATCTCCTTCCCAGTCAACTATCAACTTAGCTTTATCTGCCCCTCTGACTTCAGCTTTCCACCCCCCCCCCGCAGCCTCTTTCTAGGAAAAGTTTGATTGCTGCCTCCTGTACAATGTCATAAACCTCCATCCATACTTCTTCAGGCACTCTGTCTATCAAATCTAGTCAAACCTATTGTTCACCTCCACTGTATATTCATCAGTGATATGCTCTGGGTCAAACCTGAATGGCCTAGTGGTTTAAGAACATAAGAACATAAGAGACGCCAATGTTGGATCAGGCCAAAGGCCCATCCAGTCCAACACTCTGTGTCACACAGTGGCCAGAAATACCAGTGCCATCAGGAGGTCCAGCAGTGGGGCCAGGACATTAGAAGCCCTCCCACTGTTGACCCCCCCCCCAAGCACCAAGAAGACAGAGCATCACTTGCCCCAGAGCCCCTAGCTATACCTTGTGGCTAATAGCCACTGATGGACCTCTGCTCCATATGCTTATCTAATTCCCTTTTGAAGCTGTCCATGCTTGTAGCACCCACCACTTCCTGTGGCAGTGAATTCCATGTGTTAATCACTCTTTGGGTGAATAAGTACTTCCTTTTATCCGTTCTAACCCGACCGCTCAGCAATTTCATGGAGTGCCCACGGGTTCTTGTATTGTGAGAAAGGGAGAAAAGTACCTCTTTCTTTACCTGCTCTTTCCCATGCATAATCTTATAAACCTCGATCATGTCACCCCTCAGTCGTCTTTTCTCCAAGCTAAAGAGCCCTAAGCGCTTTAACCTTTCCTCATAGGGAAAGTGTTCCAACCCTTTTATCATTCGAGTTGCCCTTTTCTGCACTTTTTCCAAAGCTATAATATCCTTTTTAAGGTGTGGTGACCAGAACTACACACTTTATTCCAAATGAGGTCGCACCATTGATTCATATAGGGGCATTATGATATTGGCTGATCTGTTTTCAATACCCTTCCTGAATTTCAATACTCTTCCTGAATTTCTGAACCTGGAGATGGCAACCCTATTTCCATTCCAAGAAAGGAAGAGGAGGAAGAGGAGGAGGAGATTGGATTTCTACCCCACCCGAAGGAGTCTCAGAGTGGCTTACAATGTCCTTTCCATTCCCCTCCCTACAACATACACACAGTGAGCAATGCTTCCTCTAAGCTGTGGAGTCTTGTGAGCAAAAAAATCTATTTTGTGAGCTACTGGCATTGAAGTTGTGAGCAAGGAGTTTGCCTTCTGCACAAATTAATTTGCTCTAGAGCCATCCTTCCTGAGCTAAGGCAAAAAAAAAAAAAGTGAGCTGGAGGCTTAAAAAAACCCGTGAGCTAGCTCACGCTAACTCAGCTCAGACGTAATATTGACTCTGAGGTAGGAGGGGCTGAGAGAGCTCTTTCGAGGACTGCTCTTGAGAGAACAGCTCTGAAAGGACCTGTGAGTGACCCAGGGTCACACCAGCACCTGCATGTAGAGGAGTGGGGAATCCAACCTGGTTCTCCCAGGTTGGAGTTCATGCTCCTAACCACTAAACCGAACTGGCTCTCTGGGAAAGATTTGAGCTACTGGCCATTACATTAGAGGGTGTCAATGAAATCTGAATGGATGGAGAGGGTTATTTAGCCACAATTTCCTTCCACCAAAGCTTTCTAATTTTTTTTTTCATAGTATACATGTTAATGTATTTATTTATTTAAATGTTTATACCCCTCCTTCCTCCCTCCCCCCTCCCTTTCTCCCCCCTCAAGGTGGCTTAGAAAAGCAAAAGTAAATCACAGAAAAGACACATGTATCCCCCCCCAGTTCTCTTCCATGAATGCGTGCACTCAGAATCCTAACCTGAAGCATCTTGAGTGCCCTAGCAGTTTATAATACCTCTTCTTATCCAGGCAACACTGGATGATCACACCACTCCTTCAATCACTCAGTCACGGTTGGCGGAGAAGATGAATGGAAGAGGAAGGAAGCCCGGGAGAAATTCACATACATGAACCCAGAAGTCCCTCCCGCTGCAGCCTGCTCCTCCACAAGTCCTAGAAGTCTGCCTTTTGGCCATCAGTGCCCGATATGCCCATTCCACTCCCACCCCAAGCAGTCACAGGAAGGAAGCCAACCTCTCATCAAGAATGGTCCCTATCCTGACATCTCACCTTCAGGTAGGTGGGCAGCTGCTGCTCAAGCAGTTGCTTCAGCTCTCCTATGCTGAGCATATCGTGATGATCCACCCGAATGGAGAATTTGTGGAAACCGTTGATGATACCTTCACAGTGTTTCTCCATCTCAGTCTGGGCCATCTTGAGTCAAGGGACCACCTATGAAGACAACATTTTTGTTCAGGAAGGGAGAAGAAATAGCCATCTCCACGAAGAACCATTCCCCCCCCCTCCACTGATACCACACACAAGTCTCACTGGATATTTGCCAAAAGAGTCAAAGGTGTTTTCCCACAATGCACGGCCTCAGTTCTGGTATCCCTCAACTCCCTCAGGTCAAGAGAGGTGGGCAGGTTTTTGAAGCAATTCAGGTGGCAATTTTGAAGCAATTCAGGTGGTTTCCCACAATGCATGGCCTCATTTCTGTTACCCCTCAACTCCCTCAGGTCAAGAGAGGTGGTCAGGTTTTTGAAGCAATTCAGAAACCAGCCTAATCTGAGTATCAGGCATAACACTGGGATGAAGGGGCACACCACGAGCAGCATGGGCTGAAGATGGCACCTTCTGTTCTCTGAAGGAACATAATCCCTTCCCAAACAGCCACTGACCATGAGCAACACACTTAAACGTGAGCTCTGCACCATCATCATGCTGAGAAATGTACCCCTCATCCTCAGAGAAATACACCCCAACCTCCTGATTGGAGACAGATGGGTGGTAGAATTCCATTTAAAGGGTGGAATTCATTACAGGAGGCGTTTCCGTTTTTCCGTATGGACTTGACCCAACTGTGAGGAAATTATTGCCACTCCCTCAGACTAGGTGAACTTAAGGGCTAAGATATCCCCTCAATACTTGTCAGGATAATATGTAGCAGCATACTAAGGGGCTGCCTTTACACTATTGGGCGTTGTTTTCTGTCACCTGTTCCATACCTATCTGTATTCTTTTTTATAAAAAAAAAACCCTCTCCAATGAGACGTTCCTGTCTCTGTGCCCCTGTTTGATGCTGAAAGCAGCCCTGCCACAGGTCCTGTTAGTCTATAAAGTGCTACTGGGTTTTTGCTCCTCTCTACTGCCACAGACAGATAAACACAACTACCCATCATGTGATATCACCAGGCGATGGAGGAAGATAACACAGGTACCAGCCGATAACCTTGGACCACCCAAACACTAATAGAAGAAAATCCAACCAACTCTTAGACTCACCTCAGTCGATGAGGAATGAACAGAAGAAAAGAACAGGTGAAGATGTCGTGAAGATCCTTCGGACGCTCTCTTCTCTTATAGTCCTCTTTGCTTCCTCCACCAGTTGTGAAATTGTGTCCCCGTTAACAAATCCATCTGTCCTTCTCTTGCTCAATGTATTTCAATAGGCTCTTCCTTAAATGACATTCTCGGGGAGGTTTCCACCGCTTGCAACTTCCAGCACAATCGTGGTCTGCCCCTTAGCAAGACTCAAATTACAGCCACTGTTTGGCAATCCCCTTGTTGTTCAAAGGTAGGGTTGGCATTTCTTGGAAGCAACGGGATGTTTTGAAACACTAGCCATGTGTTTTTTTTTGGGGGGGGGGTTTCTCAAAAAATGTGGATGTGTTTACTGTAATCTTGTGTGACCACCTTCTTTTCGGCAACGCGTTGCTCAAGTTTCCCTGTGGTCTTCAAGGCAAAATGACGATTTGAGCCTATGGAGCTGCCGTATACTGAATCAAGCCCTTGGTCCATCAATGTATTTTATTTATTTATTTATTTATTTGGTTTTTACCCCACCCTCCCGGCCGAGGCAGGCTCAGGGTGGCTTACACGTGAAGATAATAGATAAAACAAAAATATCAATATCAATATAAAACACAGGATAGAGTATTAAAGCCATTAACACAATGATGGTGATACAACTGTGGTAAAGTGCATATGGAGACAAACATTCAGTGGTACATCCACTCTTGGTGGGCTCAGGTGGACAATAAAATTGGCACAGGGCACAGATACTGAAGTGCAGCTCCTTACCTAAACGCCTGGCGGAAGAGCTCCATTTTCGTGGCCCTGCGGAACTGTGAAAGGTCCCACAGAGCCCTGATTCTTGTCCAGGAGCTCATTCCAGTAAGTTGGAGCGGCTACAGAAAATGCCCTGGTTCTGGTCCATACCAGTCTGGTGTCATCGGGACCGGGGAGGGGGACAGTCAGTTTTGCGACCCTGACCATAGTGCTCTCTGGGGAACATGTGGGGAAAGGTGGTCCCTCAGGTAGGGAGGTCCCCGACCACTTAGATTCCTTCAAGTGTATAAGAGTTCTCTCCCCCCACCGGCAAGAGTGAACAAAATGGAATGTATGTTGTCGAAGGCTTCCACGGCCGGAGTTCATTAGTTGTTGTCGGTTTTCTGGGCTGTTTGGCCGTGGTCTTGGCATTGTAGGACCTAATGCCAAGACCACGGCCATACAGCCCAGAAAACTGACAACGACTAAAATTGAATATGTAATGAAACAAAACTGCATATGACAAGTTTTATGAATCACCACAGAAGGCAGAAAATCCACATAACCTTATCTCAGAAGGCTTGCGTTTTTATTCTGGATGGCATCTGTCCCTCTTCAGAATACCGTAGTGATACTCAATCAGCGGGCTCAGGAGCCACATGTGGCTTCTTGACATGCCACCTGTGGCCTTGATGGTTAATGTTCCCTCACCTGGGGCCTACCCCATGCCAGTTTGGTGTCGTGGTTAAGTGCACGGACTCTAATCTGGGAGAACCAGGTTTGATCCCCACTCCTCCACTTGCACCTGGCTGGATGACGTTGGGCAAGCCATAGTTTTGTCAGAACTGTCCCTGAAAAAGAGCAGTTACTTCAAGAGCTCTCTCAGCCGCACCTCCCTCACAGGGTGTCTGTTGTGGGGAGGGGAAGGGAAAGGAGTTTGTTAGGTGCTCTGAGACACCTTTGGGTAGTGAAGGGCGGGGTATAAATCCAATCTCTTCTTCTTCTTCTGTAAAGTCAGCAAGGGCGTTCCCCTCTTCGGGTTTGTGGTTGGCAGGGGGCTCCTGCCTTGATGCAGATGGCAGCAGGCCAAATTCTAGAGATGGACCTGCCCACTCCCCCATCTTTCAGCAAAGCCTCTGCACTTTCATCCCAGCACCAGCCACCTGTCAGGAGGAGAACTGGCCATAGAGTGGAGAGAGTAAAGAACAACAAGAAGAGGAGAAGAGATTGGATTTATACCCCGTCCTTCACTATCCAAAGCTGTCTCAGAGCGGCTTACAAACTCCTTCCCCTTCCCCTCCCCACAACAGAAACCCTGTGAGGTAGGTGGGGCTGAGAGACCTCTTGACAGAAACTGCTCTTTTTCAAGAACAGCTCTGAGAGAACTATGGCTTGCCCAAGGTCATCCAACAGGTGCAAGTTGTGAGGCGGGTGGAGCTGAGAGAGCTCTGACAGAAACTGCTCTTTTTCAAGAACAGCTCTTATCAGAGCTATGGCTTGCCCAAGGTCATCCAGCAGGTGCAAGTGGAGGAGTGGGGAATCAAACCCGGTTCTCCCAAATTAGAGTCCGCGCACTTAACCACGACACCAAACTGGCTCTCCTACACCAAACTGGCTCTCTGCAGCTCCCTAGGAAAAGAGCAAGCTGGCCATGGTGGAACAGTGCTGGCTTTACATCCCATTCTCCAAGACCAGCGCTCTCGTCTTCAGGAGATATGGCAAACTCACCCTCTGGCCTGAGCTATTGTGTGCAATTAATAGAGTGGCACACAAAACATACCGTAGCCATGTGTCTCTTTGGGGTGACAGCAATTGCCAATGTGGCTCTCTGTGAGCTTCAGAGTAAGTGCCACTGCTCTGTGGAAGGTATGATCAAATAGCAACTTGTTGTTGTTGTTCAGTCGCACAGTTGAGTCCGACTCTTCACGACCCCATGTGCCAGCTCCCGCCAGGCCCTCCTGTCTTCCGCAGTCTTCTGAAGTTGGCTCAATTTCATGTTCGTTGCGTCGATGACACTGTCCAACCATCTCATCCTTTGCCGTCCCCGTCTTCTTTGACCTTCAATCTTTCCCAGCATCAGGGTCTTCTCCAGTGAGTGCTCCCTTCTCATTTGGTGGCCAAAGTATTTGAGCTTCAGTTTCATTATCTGGCCTTCCAGGGAACAGTCAGGGTTGATTTCTTTGAGGATTGACTGATTTGATCTCCTTGCAGTCCAAGGAACTCTCAAGAGTCTTCTCCAGCACCATAGTTCAAAAGAATCTATTCTTCGGCGCTCGGCCTTCCTTATAGTCCAACTCTCGCAGCCATACATGACTACTGGGAATACCATTGCTTGGACCATGCAGACTTTTGTTGGCAGGGTGATGTCTCTACTTTTTATCATGCTGTTGAGGTTCGCCATCGCTTTCCTCCCAAGGAGCAGGCGTCTTTTAATTTCATGGCTGCAGT